TTTAGCCTCGGTTTACTCATACTATAGTTAGGCATCTCTAGTACCTTAGTGCGTAGATTGGAACTTTATGAGATTCAACTCGTCTGAAAGTAGTGTCCTTCCCTTCATGTTGTTTGGGGTGATGAGAAGAGAGCAGTGTACATATCTGTTTCCCCTTCCTTTTCAATCGGAAAAGCTTGGAAAGACTAATGAGTTGCTTGCTCTCGTTTGTTAAGAAAATGAATTCTCATTAAACCTTTTTCACAACAAACCACCTTCAACCTCGCTCAAATATTTTACCAGATCTTACTAAATTCTAGCATAGTAATTTTACCCTATGGGCTATGTTTATTATAGTTTGTGATATTTGTATCAATCTTACTAAAAATATGCTAATATTGAATAGGGAGAAACAAATGCCTAAACTCTAGCAGGATGAAATTCTGAAAACTTTTGTTATTTTAGGGCTTGAACTTTTTGTAGGTCTTTTACTTTTGTTGTACAAGAAGAATTGCATGTCTTTTTTATTCGCTTTGAGTCCCTTAATCTTTGGAGTTTGCCATTTTGCAGCTAAACGGTTGCCTACAGCTCAACCCACTCAAAATCCAGCAGGAATGGTTCTTGAAAACAGACCAGCAGAAGGATCTCGAACTGCATCATGTTGTACTTGAAAATCATCATCTCTCATAAATTCATTGAACCTTTCCTAATCCTTGTCTAGAGTTCACTTTGTTCTTTCATGCTGTGCTTATACCGATGAACATGAAGTCTGGAAAGTGGGAGTGGCATGGTTCATACGGAGTAGAATATGTAAAAAAAAAAAAAAAAAACGATTTCTTTAGAAGTTCCCTTAATAGATGCAGGAGGCACCTGATTTAGTGCACATTGGCTTGGTCCTCACCTCATGCTTCTTGTTTCTTTCTTTCCGTATTTTGTAAATGATTCTAATTTCCATCAACCATTACCTCTTCATTTCCACCTGATGAATGGACCGGAGTCCGAACTCTGTTATGATATTCCTTGAGTCTTGAATAACCTGTTTTGGATTGTTTTTATTATAATGTTGTGAAGCTTGTAATTTGCTTCAATGCTAGAGGGGAAATGAAGAAAAAGGACCATCTGAGACTCATCTTATGCTCAGTGATTATTTCTTTTTAAAAAAATGTGTAAAACTATAGATAGGAAACTAAAGAAACTTGCACAATTATTACTATTATTGCTTTGAGTTTTATAAATTTATAACTCAAGATATCTTGAGGTTGTATATATTAAAATAAAAGTGGAAGTAGCTTTGAAAATCAGATACTTATTATTTTATGCTTGGTCATACCGAAATAATGATGTTAAAGAAAACAAATATTATTAGTACACGAATTTTAGATATTTACATTTTATGCGTGGACAGCTAGGTCCATAACCAAACAATCAGGAAATAGTGTTGTAAATAATGTTGGTCCTACTTTTTCTGGTAATGGACATGCAAGTTACACCTTTAGTTGGTCGATAAATATAATTATATTCGCAAGTTAAATATTATATTGTACAAGTGTGTATATATATATATATATATATTTTGTTTTGTCGTGTCATGCAAATTCATACATATCACATTTGGCAACTTTATTTTTGATTTTCTGATTCCTAGTAGTTAATGTAGCTATGTTAGTAATTAATTTATAACTTAGATTTTAAATATTCACGAGAATAATCGAATTGGTTGAGCAAATGGAGTGTCTTTGTCTCAAGTTTGAAATTTCATGTCTGCTTTTTGATCGACTTTGCTGCACTAAAATTACTTCTCCAATGTAGTTTGCGAACTATTAAACTAGATCAAAGTTTACCCTATGTATATTCGAAAGAAAGCAACAGTGAATTTCTTGTCGACAAAAGGGGAAAAATATTAATTTTAATCACATATTTAATTGTATGTGATTAAATAGATAGATGGTTTAAGTCATCCCCACCAACTATATATATCTATTCAGCAACATATTTTATAAATGGCAATAATTAAGATAATGTTGTCCACATTTAGTAAAAAAATATTCCAACATTGAGAAGCTTTTTTTGGATAAACATGTTTCCAAAGGTGATGTCGAAATCTTATTTTCCTGACTCAATCTAATCATATTTTTGTAAACGGCAAAGGGTCAAATATATCGCTGTACTATATGAAATAGTTTAAATATACCTCTAGTTATATTTTTGGGCTAAATATATCCCTCCCGTTATACTTTCGAGCTAAATATACCCTATGACTAACAGATGACACGTGAACGACTGAGATTAAGTGAACTATTTAATTTAAAATAAAGCAAGTTCGAATATAACCTGTCCCGTTCCAATAACTTGACCCAACCTAATATGTAAAATTAACCCACCCAATTTGTCTTTCAAACAAAGAAACCTAATGGGCGATTTGAGTTCTTGCTCTCCAGCAATGTCTGCAACTTGGAGCCTCTTCATTGCAAAGATTTTTGCTCAAAGGTATGATTTCTTTTCTTCTTCAAACTTTATAGCTGGTATGATTTCTTTTCTTCTTCAAACTTTATAGCCTAAGATTTTGAGTGTGATTCAAACTTTATAGTCTAGGGTTGTTTTTTTTGTATAATTTCTTTCATTGTTTGGAGTTTCATAGTCTAGGATTTTGGGTATGATTTCTTTTATTGCTTTAAATTTCATAGCCTAAGGTTTTGGATATGATTTCTTTTCTTGCTTCAAGCTTCATATATAGCCTAGGTTTTTGGGTATTGATTCAAATTCGACATAATCTGTTTATATTATTTGCATGAGTACTCTTGATTTGTGATCCCGAATAATTTAGAAATTATTTTTATTTGTGTATAAAAATATGTTAAATTTTTATTTTCTTTATTCTTCAACAGTTAGTGTCTTTCATATATCGGAAAAGACTTAAAAATACCCCTGAACTATTGGAAATAGCTCACATATACCCTTGAACTATATTTTGGCTCAAAAATACCCTTCTGTTAAAGTATTGAGTTACTTTTACCCTTACTATTAACAGAGGTGTGTTAAGTGTCATGTGGACGCCAAACAACTCTCACCTCCACATAGACTCAAACATCCTAATTACTAATTTTGCTCTCAGTTTTCTCAAGAGATACACTTTCACCCATTCTCATTCTCTAATACATCATATGATTTCCCCTTTCTCTAATACGATTTTCCCTAGGGTTTCACAGATTTCCTCTCATGGACGCCATTGGATTTCAAAGTTGATTTCGCGGTGGTTCTAGGTTAAGAAACTATTTCACCCCTTTATTCTTTTCGCTGCTGGAGTCCCATTTGGATTTTGGGTTTAGGGGTTGCCTAGGTGGTGGTGGTGGTTGGTAATGGATAATAATGTTGGTGAAATATGGGCATGGATCCATTAGCTTTTGGTGTTTCCTGTTCCTTTTTCTTCACCCCTTGTGTTTGTACAGCGATATTCTCTCCTAGTTGAATTGTTTTTCCCTCTCAATGGATGATGCAATAACACTCTCATTTGTGTGTGATTGATTATGACTAGATATATTGCTTGATGGAATTGTTTATTGAGGACAGAGTCCACTACAATGAGTAGGTTCTTTGTCCTTTTCATTGTGATTGGTGCATGATGTATGGTGGCTGGTTTGAGCTATACTATGACTTGGGAGACTTCTTGAACATTATAAAGTGGGAAATGAGCAGTGTGCGCCTTGTTCATAACTTTCCGCTGTCATATGTTTCCAGGCTACCTTGTCCTATACTAGTATCAACAAATGATTTTTATGAAATATCAAATGAATGATTCCGAGACTCTAAAGTAATATCAGAGTTGTTGGACAAGTTAATAGGTTGCTGAGTGCTGACTAGTGAACAAAATGTGAGGAGATTCACCAAAAATGATGATTAGAGAAATGAGAATGGATGAAATTGTATCTCCTAAGAAAATGAGGGAAAAAATAGTATTAGGATCTTCTGAGTCTATGTGGAGGTGAGAGTTGTTTGGTGCTTATGTGGCGTCTATGTGGCGTCCACGTGACACTTAACACACCTCTGTTAATAGTAAGGGTAAAAGTGACCCAATACTTTAACGGAAGAGTATTTTTGAGCCAAAATATAGTTCAAGGGTATATGTGAGCTATTTTCAATAGTTCAGGGGTAATTTTGAGCCTTTTTCGTTCATATATTATATTCTTCTACAATCATGAAATGTGGTCCCTTTTGTATTTTTTTTATTCTTCGTCAGTCATAAAATATGGTATCTTTCATGTTTTCTATTCTTTTACAATCACGAAATGGGTCCCTTTTTAATTTTTAATTCTATAATTATAAAGTTTTGTTTTTGTTTTTTAGCTAGTTTCTTTAATTTGTTGTGGGGATGATTAAAGTATTTACACTAGAGTCTGCTCTGTTGAAATGCTTTATACATAGCCATGAACTTTTGTGGTTTAATTTTACATAAAAATTTGACCTTTCCAGATGGTATATCAATATTATACCAAAAACTATTGTTCATATTGATGTTTGAACCAAACTAAAATGCTTCCTACTTTTATGTCTAAATTGAGGCTAAATATGTTAACTTAATACAAGTAGTTATGAAATAACAGTGGTTCTTTTTAGAGTGGACAAAAGTGGTGTCTATTGTTAAGTTTTAGTTGCAAAAGTTTGGATGTATTAAGAGAAACAGTTTATTCAAGACAGAGTGAGTTTGTGATTGAATTAATGCAAACAAGTTATTTTGTAGGGTTGACTGTAATGGAGATAATAGATATGAGGTTATTGAGGGGGATGGCAGACACAATCAATTTAAGAGTGAAAAGGTGCACTTGTAGGGCATGGGATCTTGAAGGAATTTCATGTCCTCATACAATTAAAGCCTTGTTGCAGGAAAGAATCAATCCTTTAACTGAAATGAATTGGTATC